GCTAGGATTCCCATTAGATATAGCCATAGCATCACTCACCATAACTGCAGGCTCCATGGCACTTGCACATATATGATGACCAACAAATTGATTTATTAAAGCAATTATATTTGTGCAAACAGGTGCACACACCATTGGCGTTGCTCATTGTGGAGCTTTCTCTAGGAGGCTTAACTTCACTGGAAAGGGGGATAATGATCAATCTCTTGATCCAACTTATGTTGAAACACTAAAAGAACAGTGCTCTAATCAAGCAAATCCTGCGACAACTGTGGAAATGGATCCTCGAAGCTCACTTTCGTTCGATACTCGTTATTTCGCCACTGTTAATCAAAACAAGGGCCTTTTCCAGTCCGATGCAGCCCTCCTTATGAACCCGATTTCAGCCGGGATCGTAAAACAGTTGGAAGGTCCCTGGGCTTTTTTCGACCAGTTTGGTAAATCAATGGTGAAAATGGGAGCTATAGAAGTTTTGGTTGGGAATGTAGGAGAAATCAGAAAGAACTGCCGAATAATCATCAACCCATAAATTGCTTTTGCCCCATGCATATGAAGGAGAAAATCTGTCACTGTTAGCGTTTTTTGTTTTTACTTTTTCCTGTATTGTTGGTTACTTTTTGTTTCGTCAGATTAGTCCAACAGTTATCAAAGGATTCATAGCTCAATAACATGCATCCTTTTGATACTTTTGGCTAATAATAAGTAACGTGTTAAGTTATTTAGTTCTGACAATTGTAAGCACATTTACTTTTAAATGTTTATTATTCAAAGATGAATAAATTCATATTTTTGTAATTGTTCTCTCTTCCTTTAAATTTTCTTCGACAAGAGTGCATTAGGAATGGTAGAAATCAGGACTTTAGCACGTGTAGATCCAGGCCTTTCGGTATCAACATGGGAACTTACAGGACTTGCTAAACAAAACTGGAAGATACAATTTTCCAAAAGATTCAACTATGTTCATGTAGTGGCTAAGAATCTACCCTTGCTGGATTTTGATTGTCAAATTAACAGTGTACTGTGGTGCTTCAGTTTACCAGAAAACGAGAAAATAATTTGACAAAGTTGTGCTTGAGTACTACATTTTTTCTCCCATGCTTGAAATTGTTGCCACTAATAACCGGTTCTGGGACTATCCAAGTAGGAAGAAGTTCTACTTTAGGGAAATCACGTTCTGTTAGAGAAGCTTGTTGGGTATGTCCAGAGAAAACTCTAATTGAATGTTTCTGCAAAGACTTAATGTGTGGTTCAACACTCGACCTCACCCAGTCAGCTCCATGTAATATGCCTGTCTTGATAGTGTCATCTTCCTCTAGTGTTGATGGGTTATGCGGTCTATTATCTGATAAGATCATTTATTGATGTTCAATCTTCATCAGGGATTGTTCCTTACTGTTTGGTCCTGAGTTCTTCAATGCATTTTTTAATTTGAGCCTCATAATCTTGAACTCCCTTATGATCATAGATAGTGGAGAACTTACAATTGGTTCCCAAGAAACAAAGACCGTGAGTGAACCATGAAGAACATTTATCTAGGCCTATCTTGGGCTGAACATATTTATTTGAAATTTTCCGCATTCAAAATTTTTTTTTGGGGGGGGGCCTGTGTGGTTCGGTCTACTTGGGCATGTAGTGCCAAGTCCTGGCCCGCCTTCAAGGCAGCTCAGCCCACTTCAATACCATTACATCGGTGCAAGGACCATATTTTACATTTTTCCCAACCTGGTCAGCTCCGTAAGCATTCAAAACATACTAAAGGGTATCAGTTGAAGCTCGAAATCAAGATGCATAACTTGTCTACATACAAAAGGCTATCACCTAATCGTCAATTGCAAAACTTATAACCCCCCATACTCTTAAAACAACTTAATCACTTGAAAATAAGCTAAAATGTCAATTATCAGCAGTTTCAGCCTTTCAGGTGTCACATATTGGCACATTGGCCATGATCAACAAAATAAAACACCAAATTTCAAGGAACCTTCAACAAGCCAAGCATTAATAAAGTCAAATTTCAATAAAATAGCCCTATTCAGACCACTTTATCTGAGAAATTATTCAATGCAAAAAAAGAGAAGTAATACTAACCTAGAAACACACGTTCGATAAATCAATTGATTGATTTTGTATAATTCCTTCAATGACGAAAAAGAGGAGTTCGACTCATTTCATCTTGGCCTCAGTGAAGAGAACATGGTGATTAACACGAGGGTCATATTTTCGAAACTCGAGTTTTATCTGATTGCTTTGAAGCCTCTTGGTCTTCTTCACCACGTAGAAGAATCCAGTCCCAGCAGCCGAAACAAGCCTCACCAACATTGCACCAGCCTTCTTCTTCTCACCCATTTCTTACTTTTGAGGATAAACTAAACAAGAAAATAAAAAAATGAAATTCAGCTTTCCACATTCAAACACATGAAGTCATATAAGCTTTTCAAGTATCACATATACAGTATAATCACTCACTCTGAAACCATCCACCAACACAACACAACACAACACAAAACAAAATTAAATAAAAAAAGATAAAAATTAATTAATTTATAATCAATAAAAAAAAAGTTTTAGCTGTCAAAATTTGCATTTCAAAAAGATTAATTCACTCTCAAAAAACCTACTCCTTCCAAATTCAAAAAGAAAATCAATTTTCTATCGTTTGAGAACACTACTAAGTGAAAATTGTGAAGCTATAAAAGAAAACATTATAACAAAAAGTTCTCTCTGAGGAACAATAACAACCATTTGTACACACGCTTACACAATATCACACATAAAACACGTAGGCGCGTGCGAATATAAAGAGAAACGGACCGGAAGAAACGAGAAGACTGTTACCTGCGGCAATGGCAATAAAATCCACCGGGGAGAGAGTGTTAGGGTTTCCCAGTCCACAGCATTATCAAGACACCTCGGTTTAGACCCGGGTGCAAATGTAATGCATTCGCTTGGCGCTAGCCCAGCTATGTAAACGAGTCGAGTAGGAAAACAAAAGCTCGGGCTCGGCTCGAGGTTTTTTGGTCGAATTTTTTTTGGGCCCAAGTCGAGCCCGGTCAAAAAAAATAAGGCTCGGCCCGAGCTTTGGCCCGAGCCGTAGCGGGCCGAGATGACTCGATCTTTTATTTTTTTTTCAGCTATTTTAGCTTTAAAAAAATTTTCACACGGGCCGGTTCGGGCTTTTTCATGGTCGAGCCAGAGCCGACGAGCTTTTTTGCCACCACTACGCTAGCGTACGATTTTGTACTTCTACTGATGCAAGAATCCAAGATTTATGGGTGTCTCAACTCGAGTTTATTCTATTCTTGTAGATTTTATTGAATAGAATTATACAAAATGTCCGTTTGATTGAAAAAATGAAATTTGGGTGGAAAGAAAATTAATTCTATGGAATTGAATTGCTTTGAACTTTTTTTACTGGGAATTATCAATTAATTACGTTTGATTGGTATAATTTTTCATCTGAAAAATATTGAAATTTTGGATCTTTTGGTATTCGTTTGACTTTATTTTTCATGAAAATTGTCCATTAAAGATATATAATTTGTTTCCATTGAAAAAGAAAACTGCCTAAAAAACTAATTCCCACCAAAGTGGTGGGAATTATTTTACCTCAAAAAGCAAGAAAATGTGGAAAATCAATTACTTGAAAAATGTTTCCTATTAAACACTCTAAAAAATGGAAAATGACAAAAAGTTTTCCATCTTCCAAGGAAAACTTGCCCTAAATTTTTAATAGAATGTTATTTATAAGTACTACTTATTTTAAGCAAACTATGTAACGCTTAACATGACTTAAAATGTTTAACATCCTATATAACAATACTCACTTTTAATATAAAAAAGTCAATTGAGTTTTTCAACCCATGTGGAGCATCGCATCAACGGCATATGATAGATCGTGCCTATTAATAACCTCATTCGTTGTATTTGTTGACTCGAAATAATTGAAATATGAGGAGTCTCCAATTCCTAAAGATCTTGATATTTATATTAATGAGTTTCAAATATAATAAAAATTTATTAAAATTGTTACAATTAGAGAAATTTATAATTCCAAAAGTGATTCGAGACACTTAGAATTCTAAATAACCTATTGAAATTGGAGTTGAGGGACACCTATAATTTAATGAAATATATTAAAATCTGAGTTGGGAATATCTAGATTTTTTTAAGGGAAATTACAAAAAATCAGGTGTATAGTTTACACAAATTCAAAAATCAGGTTGAAAATTTAATTATTCAAAAATCAGGTATTTTATTTTACATATCAAACTATAAATCTATCCAAACCCTAAAGTAATCAATTTCTCTCAACTCTCACACGCTCTCACCATTTCTCTCCACTTTCTCCATCGCCCGCCGCCTCCCCCTCCCTTCCCTCTCCCTCTCCCTAGCAGCGTCGAGGCGCTGTTGCCGTTCACAGCAACGTTGGTAAGCTGGCAGCAGCGTCGAGCCTCCACCGCCCGCCGCCTTCACCTGCTTCTCATCCCTTCTCCCACCCCCTCCCCCTCTCCCTCTCCCTCTCCCTCTCCCTCTCCCTAGCAGCGTTGAGGCACTGTTGCTATTTACGGCAGCGTCACGACGCTGGCAGCAGCACCTCAACGCTGCTGTGAATAGCAGCAGCGGCCAGCGTCGCCTCGACGCTGCTGGTGTGTGGGTCGGCTGTGTTGGTGGATGGTCTGTGGTCTGTTGTTGGCGTGTGGCTGTGTTGGCGGATCTGTTTGTTGGTGGTTTTGTGCTGATCTGTGGTGGTTTGGGTGGTGTTGTAGTGTGTGCGGTGGTGTTGCTGTTGCGTTGTGGTGATGTTGGTGTTGCAAATGGCAGTGGCGATAGTGACTGGCGGTGGCTTTGTTGTTGGTAGTGTTGTAGTGCTGTGGCGGTGGTGGCGGGTTAGGGTAGTTGCAAGTGGCTGTAGTGGTAGTCTGTGATCAAATGTTTGGTAATCTGTGACCAAATGTTTGGTAATTTGTGACCAATTACTCAATTGTGACCTAAAAATTTAATAATATGTGACTCAAAAATAATCTGTGACCAACTAATTTAAAAATATGTAACCTCGAAATAATCTGTGAAGTACAAAATTTTTGATCTGTGACCTCGAAATAATTTGTGATCAATTAATTTTAAAACATGTGACACGTGACCTATACAATGTGACCGTTAATTATATAACTAT